CGAAGCAGACTTAAATTGTTGCTTTACCTGTTCAGACGCGTCTTCAGCGGGAACTTCAACAGAACCATCAGCATGCCCAAATAAATCTAGGCTCTCGAAATATAGGCGCATGTTAAATGTCCAGTCACGATAGTTTGCTCCATTTAGTTTCGGAATTTTAAAATCTGTCGTTAACGCCATTTTCGCCATTTTGAATGCGTTCAAGTTAATCCGTCTTCAAATAGATACATCACAATATTTTAATCGCTTCAGGCACATTGTGAAATGTCCTGGGCCCATAACCTGTTGATATTTATATTTATTGATCGGAAAATAATAAGTAAAGTCACATAATTTCTGTTGTACAATATGAATAGAATCACAGTCACATTTCGAAGTGAATAAAAGTGTCCACGCACAATAACAATAACTGAGAACTTCATGTAATCCTAATTATAGTTCAACATTACATAATGACGTAATGCTTGAATGTCAACATATAGTACTCGTCCAGATTGAATAATTTGATCCTTGGCGTAATGGCTATTTGTTCCACCGATTTTCACTTATTTTCGATTTTAGATTATCCCTATTAGAAGACTCTTAACGTCTCAAGCATTTGTAAACATGAAACTTGTGAATGTGAATGGAATTTGTTCAGGGATTAAATTTATTTCCTTAAACCACGATGCCTTTATCTTAGAAGATACATAATGCATGAGCATTACTGGAAAATTTAGGATGGCTCAAAAACTACAGTGGAACGATGGCTCAAAAACTACAGTGGAACGTCATTCCAAGTATGCAAACTGAAAACATACCGAAGTAGGTAAACATGCTGCAATTATAGGTCCCATGCATGGTGCTCACCATTAATTAGTCAGGACAGTACAGACAAAACAACACATTAATATAGAATAGAAAAAGTACACTAGAAGAAGTACAGAAATTAAGAGAGAGGAGAAGAGAACGACTAATATAGAAGATATTATTTAGTCGTGATCAATGAGTGTGAGCTAGGTACGTCAGGAGTGTAAACAGTGGCAGGAAGTTGGAGGTAAGTCTTGTGGAGGTATGTTTTGAAGAAGGAGAGAGTGTCGAAGCTGTTCGAAGGAGCAGTTTTACATACATAATTCCACAGATTTATAATTCTAACAAAGTAGGAACTTTGGAATGTGCTAGTCTTACAAACTTGTGATCTTAAAAGCTGAGAAGTTCCCGCGCGTGTTCTGCTTGTCGTAGTTTCAACATAATGTTCCACGTAAAGGTCTATCATATTGTTCTTGCATTTATAATAAAAGATCAGATCTTTCTGTTCTCTATCGTACACAAGCGGGACTAGATTAAGTTTTTTTAACCGTTGCACATAAGAAAGTTCTCCACGTTTTTTCATCAGGATCCACATTGTTGTTCTCCTCTGGACACCTTCGATTTTTATTGAGAGCTGCCTGCTACTGGGACACCAGACTTCACATCCGTACGTGAACTGAGTTTTAACCAACGTCAAATACAAAATCCGCCTAACTTGGGTGTTCGTAATTTCAAAGCATGTTCTTTTAAGGAGAGCAAGCATTTTGTTTGCCTTTGCAACCATTTTTAATATATGAGGGCCCCATTTCAGACCGCTAGATACAAGAAGGCCAAGTTCTTTTTCGGCTTTGCATGCATGATGATAACTCATTTCCATACATACGGTATGGGAATTCAATCGGCTTCCGCTTTCTTGTAACTGTCAACACCTTGCACTTTCCTGTGTTGAATTTCATCCTCGATTTCGTGCTCCATTTTTCCAGCATGGTCAAGTTTTCTTGTAACGACTGGCAGTTGTCTACTGATCTTATTTCACTGTATAATTTTGCGTCATCTGCATACAATGCGGAATTTGTACTCGATGATACATTGTCGGGAAGATCATTTATAAATATTACGAAAAGTAATGGTCCCAGAATGCTACCTTGCGGTACACCAGATGTAACAGGAGACCATGAAGATGCTGCAACTCTCTGCTGTCTGTCGTTCAAATAGCTTTCGAACCAACGTAGAAGAGAACCATTTATACTATGTATTTGTAGCTTTTGTAGCAGAATATCGTGATCTACCGATTCAAACGCTTTCGAGAAATCGAGGTATAAGACATCCCTGTCTATTGTTATCCAGACTTTTCCCTATGTCGTGTAATACACTTAGAAGTTGTGTCACACATGAACGATTCCGTAAGAAACCATGTTGAACTTATTGATTAGTACACGAATGAACGGATAGATGTTGTTAAAGA